GCCTGTTAATCTTCAGAAGTTTATAGCTTTATTTGCACTTCGAGCAATCGTAAAAGGTTAACGATTCCACTTTGTTTTTTGTTGTTTATTTAAGTTTATTAATATAATAATATACTAGTACTACGGAGCATGCCTGGACTCGGGCCGGTTCGGGCCCGGTTCGGGCCTGGGCCCGGCCGGGCCTCGGGCCAGGAAAGGGAGGCCCGAGCCCGAACCGCCGGTGGCCGGTTCCGGTCCCGGTTCCGGGCCAAACCGAGCCGGGCCGGGCCGGGCCGAACCGGCCCAATAATTTTTTTTTTTTGTTCTCCTATTTAATCCCCTACCCATCCCCCTCAACCCCAAACCATCCCAAACCACCTCAAATGGCCCAAAATACCTAATCCAACCTAAAACTTAAAAAAATTTCAAAAAAAAAAAAAAAAAATTAAAATCCGGCCCGGACCGGGCCCGAACCGGCCGGGCCGGTTCACCAAAACCTCGGCCCGGGCCCGAACCGCCCAGCAGCCGGGCCGGGCCGAACCGAACCGAGGGACCCACCGGGCCCCGGGCCAGGGGGCCAAACAGTAACCGGGCCGGGCCGGGCCGGTTTCGGGCCGGGCCGGTTTCGGGCCGGGCCGGTTCCGGCCCGGGCCGCCCGGCCCGAGTCCAGCACTACTACGGAGTAGTAATTTTTGGAATAAAAAAGCACATGTACACATATATGTATACAAACGCTGAAAATGACAAATTTGGATTTTTTGAATACCAACAACAATGAACATTAGAAAGCAATAAAAAGCAAAAATGTTAAATAATAATAAAAAGCTTGCAACTATTTTAAAAATATTAAATTAAAAATTTATATATTTACAGACATGTCAATGTTTTAATTGTTTTCTCTGCACGTTGTTACATTTTTCAATTTTTTATTTTAATTTTTTTAATATTTTAAACGGTTTTTTGTTTGCTTAGATATCTGAATTTTTTAAAATGTAAAGAATCTTATACTCCTCCGTATCTATTTTCTCTTATTATGTAAATATAATTTGATTTTTTTCAAATTTCTGAATTAATATTTTTTAATTTTTAAGAATAATTTAAATTTTAAATATTTATTTTCTTTTTTACATTTTTTACTTTGTCCATGTACCTATTTTTTAAATTTTACTTTTCCATAAAACTTTACAATTACTTTTCATAGTGCTAAAAGTTTTAAACATTGTTATCTTATTTTACATAATTGTTTTTAAATTTTAGGTTCTTAGAGTCTTTTCAATTTATAATGACCATGGGGCTACTAGTTTCTAGATGGTTTATTTTTTATGCCAGTTTGGTTTCGGTTTATTTTTTATTTAGAGATCAATTTTTGTAGGACGAGTTGTACTTGGTTTTGAGTGAGTTTATTTTGAAGTACTAGTTGTGTTACGCGTGTTGCGCGATGGAAAGATGCCCAATAAGATGCATGACTTAATGACGCTATCATGGTTTCATGTAATATTTCTTCAAATTCACTAAAACAACAAAACCATTTAAATAAAATCACAATTTATAAAAGTTGTAATCTTCACTCAAAATGACCTAAAAGCATCAATTCAACATGAGAAAACACTTGTAGTTACCAATACATACACGAGAATCTAAATTAGACTATGAATTGAAAAGAAGTTTCATATTAACAAAAACACTATGTAAACAAATTTACAAACATCAAGAGTGATTTAGATAGAATTTCTCTTTTCGAATTAAATATAAACATACAATAAAAATTGCAAATTGTGAGCCTCTTGATTTAAACAATTACATTCTTGAGTTGCAGTTTTCATATACAATGTAAACTGCTTCAGAAGTACACAAATGGATGGCCACTAGATTTTTATGATTATTAGCAAGAAAGCACGTGAGAGATGAATCGCTTCTCATGTTGAAATTTAGGGAGTGCTTGTAAGAATAAAAAAACGCTTTTAATATTTTAGTTTTAGAAATTTTAAATGTGTTTTCAAGTAACATATTTATGTTTAAATTGGGCACTAAAAACTAAAAACTGGAAGCTGGTAGATGATGTTTTAATTTACATTGCTTTTCACGTATTCTTTTATACATAAAGTATTTTTTTACAAATACTGTCAACTATTTACTTTTTCCAAAAACACACTTTTTTCAAAACGTTACCAACTTTTACTACTAAGCACATTTTCTAAAATTACTTACAAAAATAACCTTTTAAAAAAGAAACTATTGCGAATGCTTTGTTTACCTCGTGGATATTGGACATATGAATTTTGTAATCTTGGCATTCCATGTCCAAGTAAATGATTCAATAAACTCAAGAATAAACCCAGTTCAATAAAATTAAAACACTATGTTCACTTTCAATTAAAAATTGCTCGTATACTTAGGAATGACGAGGATTGCCTCGTTGGCACTTAAATGAGATAAAATATATGGAGTATGATGCATGAGATAAATCGCTAGAAGTGGGTGTATGCCGTGAGAAGAGAAGAGAGAATGAAGATTGAGAATAACATTTATATAACGGAGATTTATAACGGAAACGGTTTAAGTGAAAGCAGGCATGGACCCGGTTCGGGCCGCCCGGCCCGGCCCGCCACTGTGCGGGCCCGGAACCGGCCCGGTTCTCGGGTCCGGGTCCGGGTCCGGGTCCGGGTCGGTCCTAGGCCCGATGGGGGGGGCGGGTCCGGGCTCGGGCCTTGTATTAGGCGAACCGGCCCGGTCGGGTCGGGCCCGGGCCGAATTGATTTTTTTTGAGACAAGGGTCAGATAGGGTCTCGAACTTGAAAAAAAATGTCAAATAAGACCATATTTAGGATGTTCTGTACGGCCGACGCCATTTGGGGTAGTTCCCGGTAGAATTTTTTGATGAAATGTTTTGAGAATCTTATTCATTAAGTCTAGTTTACTCATATCAAATTTGAACTATAAATTTAATTGGGAAGGCATTCAAATGAATTCTTGAAGATAACTGTATCGTTAAAAGCGCAGTTATCTTCATGAATTCATTTGAATGCCTTCCCGATTGAATTGTTAGTTCAAATTTGATATGAGTAAACTAGACTTAATGAATAAGATTCTCAAAAAAATTCATCAAAAAATTCCATCGGGAACCACCCCAAATGGCGTCGGCCGGACAGAGCATCCTAAATATGGCCTTATTTGATATTTTTTTTCAAGTTCGAGACCCTATCTGACCCTTATCCCATTTTTTTTTTATTTTTTTTTTCATTTTTTGGGGTTAGCCGGGTTGGGCTTGATGGTTAGGAGGGGTTTGGGGGTTTGGGGGGGTGGGGGGGTGAGTGGGGGGGGGGGGGAGGAAAGCAAAAAATAAAAAGAAAAAAATTTATGACCGATCCGGAGGCCCGGCCCGGACCCGGCCCGGACCCGGACCGGACCCGGTGGCTACCCGGGCCGGTCCCGGGCCTTCCTTCCCAAAAAAAAAGCCCAGCCGGACTCGGCCCGGAACCGGAACCGGCCCAGCCCGGGTCCATGACTAAGTGAAAGGTTTTAAATTTTAACCATTACGAATAACATAGATAGCATAAGGTACAATGAGGAAACTTCATGTCAGGCCGGCCTGACGGGCTGCTCCGTCCGGCCGAGCCCGTTTGGGCACCTTCCCGGTGGAATTTTTTGATGAAAATTTTTGAGCATGTTCCTAATCAAGTCTAGTTTGTCCACACCAAATTTCAGCTCAAAATTCAATCGGGAAGGCATTCAAATTAGTTTTTGAAGTTGACTTCAGTTTTATATGTATATTTTGACGCAGTCAACTTCAAAAAATGATTTGAATGCCTTCCTGATCGAGTTTTGAGCTGAAATTTGGTATGGACAAACTAGACTAGATGAGGAACATGCTCAAAAAATTTCATCAAAATATTCCAGCGGGAAGGTGCCCAAACGGGCTCGGCCGGACGGAGCAGCCCGTCAGGCCGGCCTGATAAGTGCCTTTATTACAACCAACACATTTTGCATTCCTAAACCGCCCTAACTCTCATTCACTTTTATAAGTTTGTAAAGATTGAGGTTTTCCCGACCAAACCTATCATAAAAACTCATAAATGATTAGCTATTGCACTTTGTTGCACCTTCAAATTATAATTTTTATACATTTATTATATTTTAAATTTTAAAGTTCTCAGACTTTCAAGAAAATATAAATTATTTTGTGTTTCTTTTTTTCGTTATTACTATCTTAATTTTTTGAAATTTTTGAGTTCGTAAGTTAGCACATGAAGGAATTTTCATTCTTCCCTCTACAACCAGTTATTTAGGTGGTGTTTGGATCTGATTCTCAAAACTGATTCTGCTCCTTCAAGGAGCAGAAGCAGAAGTTGGAGTGTTTGGGTAAAATTCCAAAAGCACTTCTGGTGCTCTAATTTACTCCCAGAATCAGTTTTTTTAGAAGCTGGGAGGTACCAGCTTCTGAAAACTGATTCTGATTCTACTTCTGCTTTAAAAAAGAAGCAGAAGCAGAATCAATTCCAAACACCTATGGATGGACCCGGGCCGGTTCGGGCCCGGTTCGGGCCTAGGCCCGGCCGGGCCTCGGGTCTGTTTTGTTGGGCCCGAGCCCGAACCGGTGGCCACCGGTTCCGGGTCCGGTTCCGGGCCGGGCCGGGCCGGTCAGGCCACCCGGTTTAATTTTTTTTTTTTCCTTTCTTCCCCCACCCCCCCAAACCCCCCCAAACCGGCCTAAACAGATAGCCCAAGCCCAACAGCCCAAAACAAATGAAAAAAATTAAAAAAAATAGATTCGGCCCGGACCCGGGCCCGAACCGGCCGGGCCGGGCCGTCAAAACCATGAACCGAGCCCGGAACCGCCCCACCCCCGGGCCTCCGGCCCGAACCGGACCCGTACCCGGATAACCGGGCCGGGCCGGGCCCGCACAGTAGCGGGTCGGGCCGGTCCCGGGCCGGGCGGCCCGAACCGAGGCCATGCCTACAAACACCCCTTAATGAGTAGGGATTAGTGTTCAAGGATCACTGTTGAAAAGAAATCCTTATCTAGTAAAACTTGAAAAGTGAAATAAAATACAGTATCACTTTCATTTCCAATCTACTCCCAGATTGTGAAAGTAGTCACCAGAAAAGCCCAAAAATCAAACGGATGAATAAGCACCCACAGTCAAAAGTCAAAAGGGAAAACAAAGGTACTTTGTTCTCTGTTTTATGGACCTGTCATGCTCAAATGTCACAAATATTACTACATAAATTTTACACATAAAAGAATGAAAAGTTTACATAATTTCGCTTCAGTAGCACCAATCTACAGTGCCCTTCTCTGAACAGGGCTCTGAATCCCCCGAACATGCGATCATCACAATGCTGAGGGGTATTATAAGCCTTTCACAGAAAAAGGAGAAAACAGAAAAAATAGTTTTAAATTTAAAAATAGGAGGATGATACAGTGCTAAAGCTTCAATTTTTCTTCTGCCGCAAGAGAAGCTCCGCTGCGCTCCAAAAGACATGCTGCCTTTTCAGTAGCAGTCAACCCAGAGCAGGAGTCACCTGATCCAAGGGTGACAGCAAAGTAGAGATAGACGATGCAGATGAAAGTCAGCAAGCCCATGGCGATTAGGAGGAACCGATGGCGCTGTAGTATTGTTGAAAAGCTCACGGGTGATTCATCGCCTCCTCGGGGGTGTAATTTTTTGTATGAAGGCGCGACAGAAAACGCAGCATGTGACCTCCTATGAGGTGAGGCTATCTTGTCATCAAGCGACATGGGTTCTGCATAAATTGGCACTACTAACCAGCCACAATATCTGCATTAATTGAAATTCAACTTATCAGTAACTTGAAGAGCTTGTCCATGAAAATACTCAGCAGCAAAAGTATATCTGAGATTCTGAGCTATACACTTGCATGCACACACATACTCATGAAATTTGGATAAAATTGCCAAATGTACTGAATTCGCTGATAATGTGGCTAACACGGCTGAAAAAATTAATGTGCTCTTTTGACAAATAATATAATACCTAAATCATTAAGGGAGAAGTGTTTATATCTCCGCTTTAGCCATTTTGGAAGCAAAATGCATTATATTTTGCAATTTAAACACTTCAGCTAATGCTCTCGGATCAAAGTGGTAGATAATCTAGTTGATAACAATCTAACATTCTTCCAAGGATCAAATGAACAAAATAGAAGGAGATGATGTTTTATAACTGAAACAAAAATTGAAGATGCTATGCCTAGAAGAGAAACAAAAAAGACACAAATATCAGAAGGTATTCCCCGGCAAGACTAACTTGCCCAACAGCCTAAGGCTGCCCAACTCTAAATGGTACCAAGTTCTACTAGCTTCTTAATCGCCCCTTTGCTAAACGAAGGCTTATATATAATCTATCACAATCTAAAAATACGGTACAGATATATTGGTAACAAATCAAAGGGTTAAATAATAAAGATTAATCTCTTAGCTTAAACTGATTGAATTCTTGATTAATTGTTCATTTATTACCTTTATTGATACCGTTATTCTTCTCTATTTTCTAGGTCAAGATCTGTGTAGGCATAACCCAGAGACGACAGATATACAATCAGACTACTCTCAACACTAATTTGAAGCAAAGTTTATAATTACAAATTAAAGAATACATACATTTTTAGTCAACTCCTTCCTGGAAAAACTCTAATTGGTAAGTATTCCGAATCCATCTTTTTTTAAATATACCGAATCCATCTAGCACACACTTAATTGCAAAGGGTTTAACGCAATATCAAGGCTTTGATTTCATCCTAACGATTAATTTGACGGGGGTGGTAGCTCAAATTCCTCAAAATCTTAAATATTGGTTAACTATGTTATAACTTACTTGGGGGGGGGGGAAATACTTTAATATGCCTCCTCAGCCCAAATAGAGTTGGACAACTTGGAGTGAATAAATGCAGAAGTTGAACTTATTTGTATAAATATTGCTAGTGTATTGGCTGCTCATGGCTTTATGAAAGCACTATCTGTTCTTCCTTTTCTTCTATTTCTTCTAAGTGGGGTCTCATTGTCATCTTCAAAGTCAGGTGAGGCCAAAAGACAGTGATCAAGCAGTTCTAAATTTGTTATGATAGTTGCTATAGATCCTTCTTGTATTTCAATCTCCCCCTCCCTCTCTATTGTATACATGTAATATGTATACACACACATACATACATATAGTGGTCAACCCAGAAAATTCTTCAAGCAAGGCACATTAGTAGAGGTAGGCAAAGGTTAGATTTTGTTTGGTTCTGAACCCACCAGTTATGATCCCCAAATTAAAGAAACTTGAGAATACTCCACATAACTGGTTAACCAAAGCTTGTTTAATCAAGTTGTTGACTCGTTTTGGATTATATCCAACCCCAAAAAATCAACTTTTATAGAATAATTAAACCAGAATTGGGATGAGAACTGACCAATTCGAACACCTGTATAGACCAATGAAAACCGAATTTCATACATGATTCCAGTTCCATTTTAGGCATAGTCCGGGTCCGATCGAGTCACCTTTACAAATTTTATTTCTGCTCGCTTGAAATGTAATAAAACTGGCCATAAAGTACACCACTTCCTAGGATGTTTTTAATTGGGCTAATTTCAGTCCCATCCGAGACCAAAAACACATAAAACGGACAATTGCCAAACAAGAAAATTTTGGTCCAATTAAAAACACCCTTAGAGTAGTTGTAGTGGACTAGTGGCCCTTCATTTCAGTGCCACAAGAATTTTTCATTTGGTTTAGTTCATCGAATAACTCAGTGCCAAATGATACTGTTATAGGTTTGGGTTATAAAAGGTGAAATTTTATTCTTTTCAACCTAATGTTTCTTAGTAGTGACTTCTCTAAAAACAAATATGCTTCATCTTGATCCTAAGCTGGGCAACATTATACGGAGTATCACAGAAGCATTACTATCATTGACCTGAATGGAAGCGGGCACTTGCACTCATGACCCCCTAGGTTCTCCACCTGTTTATATGTATTGACTAGCAGCTCTTTTATATCTTCCTAGTAATTTACTTGGACTGTAATTTGATGGTCTGATCTGTTTTGGTCTGGTTTCTTTGAATTTTTATAATTATTCAAGTCTGATCTGGAACAGATTAGAGTCAAGTAAAAACATCCTAAGGAAAGATAAAACTTTTTTCCCTCGAGCTCCAATAAAGCAACACTTCACAATTATCCGTTTGTCGTTATTGCTCAAAACATCTAGAATATTCTATGCGCCTGGATCTCTATAACGATCATTAAAATGCCTTAAGAAATTCTCACTTCCCCGTTATGTAATTCATTCACGATGCGTTTAATTTCAGCAGCAATATGTAAACAATAAAACGAAGAACATAACAATCATATCAGATCTGAAAAGGGAAAACGCGGATAATTCATGCAATACGCGCGGGCAGGAAAACCGAGAGAAAACAAAAACTAACAGCTTCAGGAGGAAGATACTGAATCACCGCGTTAAAGACGACGAAAATGGAAGGAATATCATGCGCAAATGATGGGTACGAAACTTCCCGGAGCTGCTCCCGTCTGGAAGCGAGGCCGCAGAGCGATGAGGTGTACGAATATCTTTGACTTGCGGCTCGCCGGAAATTTATCTGTATCCTTCACTGATTTGATGAGCAGGGTGACTCTAACCACCGTTTGTAGAAACAAACGGATTATATAAAAAAGGATATCCGTCGTAAAAATAATACTTCGTACGAAGTACCTCGTGCGAACTGCGAAGTACTATCAATTTCTTTGTAGCAATATAACTAGTGGTGGCCCGGCTTGCCATTGTGCGGGACTGGACCGGACCGGTGGATCGAGACCGGCTCCAGACCTAGGCCCGGCACGGGGATTGGGCGGGGCGATTCCAGTCTAATCTATCCTTTTGTACCGGTTTGGACGGGTCGGGCCCGATTCGTGCCTATTATTATTTTTCAATGTTTTTTTGTTTTTTGCCGGGTTGGACTAGTGTTTTGGGGGGTTTGGGGTGTGGGGGACCGGTCCATGCCTAAATATAACCCCCCGTGAACAAGTGCCCCTTTCTAACTTTTCTTCATTGACTTTTGGTCTAATTTTTAGTTACTTACCTAAGTAAGGAGTAATAAAAAAAACTTTAAAACTTTCCAATACAATCAGAACTACAAATTTTATGGTTACATAAATTGTTACTACCTCCGTCCTATTTTATGTGTCTTAGTTTGACTTGACATGGTTATTAATGAAGTGGTTGAAAAAGTAAAAGTTGTGGTTGAGGTTTGAGTATAATAAAGTAAATTGGTGTAGGCCACATATTTCTTTCCCAAAAAGGAAAGTGGACACTTATTTTGGGACAGCCCAAAAAGGAAAGTAGAACAGATAAAATGGGACAGAGAGAGTTTAATATTACTATAAATATACAGAGTATAGCATACATAATAAAAGAGTGTAAAGTTGTATAAAAACTATGTGTTACCTATTTAGTGTCAGCAATTTGTGTTGCTTCTTTGGAGGTTGTCGTTTCAGAGTCTGATTGCAGAGCATCTCTTGAATCTAGATGCAGTTTGTTGAAAGATAGGTGGTGGATTTGAAGTTATTAGATGATTGTAACTTTTGATTTATTTGATATTTTAATATACGTCCAATTTTCTTTCAAAAAAGAGCATGTGTCAAAGTCAACTATCTTTCACTAAATATGTAGTATATATTACATAAAAGACAATTTACTTTTTGGTGGTCACAAACAATTCTTTTTATTAAAATGAAAATAAATTATATGTAGACAAAATACATTTGATGTGTAAACGAACTTGTAAGTCGAGGTGTACGAGCAGCATTTTTGTTATTTTTAATATTGCGTATATTACTAAAGTTACCATGTTTTTAGTGACCACAAAGTCACAAAAGCCACTACACAAATACAACTATGGCGATATAACCATACTCACCAAAAATTGGATTTATAAAAAAATGTGAGTAATGTATTTCCTTGTCCAGTTCACATCAGTAACCTAGTAGCACACTACATGATACTGGAAGTGATAAGAACACTTTGAACACCGAATGTTTACTCAAAACTCCATTGATTCTCTTTTGTTCCCAACCATTGCTGATTTCCTAAATTCCTCACTCGTAGTCTGCTTCTTCTCTTCTTCATTGACAACACACCTCGTATGAAACTCTAAATCGTCATCTGCATGATCAAAACAGATGCAACAAGCATGAACATAACATGTTTTCAAAACAAGAAGCCATTATTATGGGGATATTCTTGGTCAACCTGAATCGGTGGATAGAGAAAAATCAGTGAGACGACGAACGCAGTCCTTAAGAGCTTGGAGCTCTGATTCTTTCTGATGGAGTTTTCGGTGGGACATTTGCAGCTCAGTCTCTAACTCGGCTATCTGGCTTCCCTGTTGTTCAATCAGTACTTGGCACAACTTTTGGTTCAGTTCAGAGGGGTGCACTCCGTTGGGTTCATAAGGGTGACTCAAATCCATTTCATCATCAAACCCTTCAGCCAAAGCTCCCATCTGTCAAGCAAATGTTGATTACTTCAGAATTTGAAATTGTTATGATATACAAGAATATGTATTTCCTGAACTTATCGGAAATAATGACATATACATGACTGCGATCGAAATTAAGGACAAAAATATGACTTTCAATACGCACCAGCTATAGGGTAAGTGCGTAACCATATTGTTATAGTCACAATGACTATAGTGACTGTTGATTTTCAATTTTACAATTTGGTAACCATATTGGTATTTACATAATTTTTCCATCATTTGCAATGGAGCCAAAGATTCATTATTTTTTGGCTTGAGAATATGATGGCATAAAGCAAAATGGCTCACCAAACTGTCTGCGCTTCTTTGTTATGAAGCAGCAGTCAATCAATGCAATTTTTGGACGCGTTTTTCATTATGGGTCATACGGAAACAGTCTCTCTGCGCTTTAGTACAGGGGTAAGACTGCATACATCCGACCCCCCCTTACCCCACCATAGGTGGGAGCCTTTGCGGCACTGGGGTAAATGATGATTGATGATTGGTATTTACATAATGACTAGTGAACATGTAGTCATAATTTTCTTAATGCGTTTTATTTCAGTAGAATCATAAGAAAGAATTCAACTATGGCATCACAACTTGTATTATCAATTTCAGTATTTGACTTTATTATACGGAGTAATTTAGATGACATTGTGAAAAAGTTTATGGTTTTGAAATAACTAAATCTAGTTTAAGGCATGCCAGTAAATTTTTACGGTTTTTCTACTATAATATTACTACAATAGACAAAAATCTAGCTATATGGTCAGTTGAGTCACTATGAAAATACAACTACGGAAACTGCAATGTAAAAATGGAATCATGGTCATGGGAATCACTGAAAATACTACTATGGTCACTGGACATTAAAAGTCATCTTTTATATATTGTCATTATTGCAATTTCAAAACCAGGAACTATTAACAAACAACTAAAATATGAAAATCAAAGTAATTGAATGTGAACTAGACGTATTTCGCACATCATCTTATATTCTCATGAAACAAAACATACTCCCTCCGTCCTCAATTAAATGTCTCATTTTACTATATTGGGATGTCCCTATTTAAATGTCCCATACCTCATTTGGTAAAGTTTGTGTGGCTCAAAATCATTCTTACTTTATTCTTACTTTATTCCTACTTTATCAATTAATATCAACCACACAAACCCACTTTTCTTAACATTCGTGCCACCCTCTTCCGGGACTTTTAAAAGGGGACGGAGGGAGTAACCATTAGTCAAAAACAATTAACACAACTCACAAGTTCAAAGCATTAGTTGTATCATTTTAAAAGAAAAAAACTGGCCTCATTGAAAATATCTGCTCTTGCACCAAAGTCAGAACCATCGGGGTTGCAGCCATGGAGTTTCTGCAGTTCAGATGTAAACTCAGCTTCCAGATGATTCAGCTCTATTGCCTCTGGCTGCATTTCCTCAGTAAGAACACTGCTTGCATATTCACCTTCCTCAGTCACAGAAAAGCTGAAGATTCTCTTTCCATTAATATTCTGAGTGCATGGCTTAACAAATGCAGTTTCTGTATGCTCTTCCCTGATGTCCTCAGATTTAGAAGAATATGAACTAAGTGAAGTTCTTCTTCTTGAAAGTTGATCCTTCAATTCCTGGACAACCTTTGAGGTTTCATCCATTGCAATCTTGAGCTTATTCATTTCACCACTCCGGGCTGACATCATGCACATCATCCCAATTCCCACACCCCATCCAAAAGCTGAATTTCCTGCAAGCTAACACCAGTCATTGAGGCTATGTTTGGAGCAAAGGGAATGGTAGGAAAAGGGAGTAAAAATAGTAAGAGTTTGTTTGGAACTTGGAAAAGGCGAGGTAAAGAAAGTAGGGAGAAAATTATAGAGGTTTGGAAGAAAACATAATTTTGAGGAAAATAAACATTGGTTCCAAGTTCCAACTCAACAAGTTAATGTTTATTGTTTGTTCAAAATTATTTTTTAAAATTTATTTCAATGATATATATTCCATCAAATCTGAGCATGTATAAGAAAAAAACAACTTCCTTGCATTTTCTTTCATTTCACTTCCATTTACCGCAATCCAAAAATAGCCCAAGGAAGATGGGGTTTTATCATTTGGATATACCCAAATATTAAAAATACGACTAAAACTTTTTAAAAACTTACATAAATTTAGATGTCTTGATTATTAATTGATAATAACATTTAGATTGATCAAATATCTAAACTTGATATATTGAGGGCCTGTTTAGTAGTTTGCATTTCAGAACTTTGCTTGTGAAATGATTGCATTCAAACTTTAGGGAAGCAATCGCTTTGATAAAATAAAAATACTCTATTTGGTTAGGTGTGTAATTTATTTTTAAATTACACACAAAGTTGTTTTATAAGAAGCATGCAGAGTATTTTACCTTTCACCTCCGACCCCTCATGTAAAATATTTCACATGGTATATTGCGATGTTTAATAAAGTGCTCTACAGTTTGCATTCAATAATGAAACCGAACGGTGTGAATCTTTTGCATCGCTATATTTTGCATACAAAGTAATTATTTTACTATCATACTAAATGCCCTCTCAACTGGGCTCTCTATTGTTCTTACGTTTTTCTCTCCTATATTTTACCCATATTCTCTTCCTTCCAACTGGCCTCTATTTCCCCCCTACCATTTGACTGCCAATTGCCAAATGGGCGCTAACATAATGAGAAATTTCAAAATCAATGAAAAAACACAATCAATGATTCAATGAATGATATTTCTTAAACAGATTAGGATCAATTTAACAATAAGTGGGTACAAATGCAATCTTCACTTGTTTAAATCACTCCACCAAAAACTCAAGATTTCTGAGCCTAAAACTAACAATACTGCATGTATTACGTTTATCAATATGGGGAGATGCATTTCTTTGTATGTCTTTCAAGGGTTCATTAAAACATGAACGGAAGTTCAAAATTAAGCAATACACCCTCCGTACTAAATACTTTTCAGATTTTCATAAAAAGGAAATAATCATAGAGCTTTAAGTAATAAGATAGACACAGTAGAGCATTAAGGATTGGCAAAGATCTAACCTTTGGAAGAGCAATTGTCGCATTTGCCTGGGGCAGTTCTGTTAGTCCTTCTCTTCTTCAAGCAAACATAGAACTTCTTCCCACTCCCACTGCTCTCATGGTCAACCCCCAAATCACCTTTCTTGAACCCACATTTCCTTGCCACTTTCCCATCACCATTCCTCTTAAGCCCCTCAGCATTTCCCTTATTCCTTCCAGACCCACAGCCAGGTTTCTTCTTCTGCTTATTCGACCCTCTTTCTGAGCTTGAAAACCTAAAGATTGATTCTACACCTTGAGATTCGCCCTTAGTCGGAATTTCTTCAGTTAAGGTTGAATCTTGGACAGCAAAATCAGGTGAGGTAGAGCTATTTCGGTCAACGGGTTGGTCGGATTTGGGGGCATTTGAATGGATTAGTTGTTTGGCCAGAAACCCAGATCCTGCAGCTAATGCTGCTCCCAATGCAACTTGCCACATTGTGATCAGAAAGAGTCCAATTGAATTGAGAGAACATGGGAATTTCTGCAGCTTGAATTCGAATTCAACATTCAAATGCTCTTTAATCACGCTCTACCATTGAGTGAGAGAGTGAAATGAGCGTCCATAATACTCCGTAACTGACAATGGCTTTGAAGAATTGAAATGTCCCCGACAAGGTGGAGCATGTCAAAATGAATGCTCATTTGCTCATTGCTCCCTACTAAATTAGAGCTATGTAATCACCGAATGGACTGAGTAAAATTTAAATAAGTTTTTTATCACCATCAAATAAAAAAAAAATTATTTGTACCAACTCTTATATCCACTTTTGTACCCACCATGTATGAGAGAAGTTTTTTTGTATATTAATCTCGGTCACAGACATGGTGGGTATAATAAGGTGGGTATAAAAGTGTGTACAAGAAGAAGTACTCCCCGCTAATAGGTCTAGGATCGGTGCGAAAAATTCGATGGAACCATAATAAAAATTATAGGCTTTAAATTCGGTTCGGTTCTAGTTAAAAATGTAGTTGTTAATTTCGGTTCGGTTCTAATTAAATTCGATTAGGTTCTTACCTTTTTCGGTTCCTTATAAAAATTTATTATCCTTCTAAAATGAACACTTTTTACATTCATTTACGTAAAAAAAAAAATCAAGTTTCAAATCATGAAATTATGACCATTACATTATACATACATGATATCCCCAATTCCCAATGTTCAAATATCACAAACATATCCAAGTGCAAACAATACTAACGTTGAGGGTATAGCTAGCTTTTAAAAGTTGTTATAGTGTTACTACTATTATTACTATTAATATTATCTTTATTATTATTAATCAAATATATTTGATTAACATTTGAACCGAATATATTGATATTCATATTTTTATTTGATAACAATTTGAATCAAATTTAGTATTCTTAATTGTATTCGTATTTAAACTTTTTGAATTCGAAACACGAACCAAGCATAAATTATTTGATTCATATGCAACCCAAATATTAATGTTCTAATATCACAAAAATATCCAAGTGCGAAATTTAAATTTAAACATAACAAAAACATAAAATTTTAAAGTAAGCATCAATTGTCAAGCAAAAAAGTTTAATAGCTCCAAGGTACACATCCAATAGCAGGTAGTTCAACCTCAAAATAATATTTTTCTACCAGTAATGCACCATAATAAAGTACATAATAATAAATTGATTAGTAATATTAGCAATAATTTACTATGAACAAATAACAATGTAATCAACAGAATATTAATTACGGAGTACCTTTTTAGGTGAACTCGAATAAAAAATACAATTACAAACAAAAAAAATAAATATAAAGGTCGACTAAAGTAGTAAAATAACAATTACTCGGATTAGCCTGGTCCACGATATATAAGGTATATTATGCAAGTCAAATATTCCTTACAAGAATTTTCTGGCACGAACGCCGTCTAGGGACACCTACATTTGTGGTGATTCCCAGTAGAACTTTTTGATGCGATTCTGTGATCATGCTCTACATGAAGTGTAGATTATAGACGCCAAATTTCAGCTTAAAATTCAACCGGGGAGTAAGTTAAATAAAATATTGAAAAACATTGTGTTTTTTACATATATTTTGACGTAATGTTTTTCAATAATTTATTTAACTAACTTCCTGATTGAATCTTAAACTCAAATTTGGTGGACATAATCTATACTTCATGAAGAAAAATCTCACAAAATTTTTTCACAAAATTCCACACAGAAGTACCTCAAATCAAGATTACTCATGCACCGTATAAGAAGTTTGGTTCCTGTCTAGGAACCGGAACTGAACTGGAACCGAACTGGAACCGAACCGATCCAACACTATAGGAACCGAACCGAAAAAAACTGAAGCCCAAAATTATAGGAACCGAACCGGAAAATTTGGTTCGGATCGGTTTTCCCGATTTTACGGTTCCAGGCCTACCCGCTAATTTGCTATTAAGGGCCTTTTTTAGCTCTAAGCTTTCATACTATTTTAAAAGTTAGAGCATGTTGTTAGATTTTTGGACTCATACTACATGTAATATTCATAATATATTATTTATTAGGTTTAATTATATGTTATACTACGTATGTTAATTATCTTATATTTAGGCCCAAAATTAGTGGTCATGTGGATATTATTTAAGTGGGCTAATATGTTATCTAATAAGGTATAGGGCCCAAATGTGTATAGACCCACAGACTTAACCTAATTAATGATGGGCTGATTATGGTACTAGAAAAATGCCTTATAGTGACACTTTTATAGTGACACTTTCTGATAAAATACCATTAATGACATACAAGTGTCATTGATTTCTAACCCAAAAATTTTACAACCGAATAGCGACACTTATTTTTTTGAGATAAGGGTCAGATAGAGTCTCGAACTTGAAAAAAAATGTCAAATAAGGCCATATTTAGGATGCTCTGTCCGGCCGACGCCATTTGGGGTGGTTCCCGGTAGAATTTTTTGATGAAATTTTTTTAGAATCTTATTCATCAAGTCTAGTTTACTCATATCAAATTTGAACTAAAACTTAAATCGGGAAGGCATTCAAATGAATTCTTGAAGATAACTGTACTGTTAAAAGCGCAGTTATCTTCATGAATTCATTTGAATGCCTTCCCGATTGAATTGTTAGTTCAAATTTGATATGAGTAAACTAGACTTAATGAATAAGATTCTCAAAAAATTTCATCAAAAAATTCCACCGGGAACCACCCCAAATGGCGTCGGCCGGACAGAGCATCCTAAATATGGCCTTATTTGACATTTTTTTTCAAGTTCGAGACCCTATTTGACCCTTATCCCTATTTTTTTCGATACAGAAATATTCACTTACTGGGCCGGCCGGGTGTGCGCAGATTTTTTTTAACGCCCAACACTCAGGTTTTTTTCACATACCCACTTGAATTTACTCGCTTGAGATACCCATCGATTTCCTTCAATTCGAGAGCTCTACTCGCACTGACCGTATATTTACTGGATTGGGGGTGTCTGCCTTACGCAAATGTAAGGCACTCTGCGTTTCTCTTTTTGGACCGTCGGATTAAGTGGATGAACAACAATCAGAGTTTAATAGTTTTAAATTTACATATATTAACCAATCCAATAAGGCTCTTTCACGTGTCAGCTCTCAAAGTTTAGGTTTGCGCCAATTTCTCCCTCTTTCTTTATTCAGCGCCACTTTTCCTCTCCCGTTTCTCCTCCACTTCGTCTCTCCCGTTTCTCTTCTATTGCAACGGTGTTGCCATCTGTCTCAAGACAAAGAAAGCCAGTGTAAGTTTATACATGTACTCGATTCTAGAAGCTCTTATAATCCTTTGTTTTTGTTGTCGTTTCAACTCCAATTTGCAATTGATATTTGAATTTACAGAACCCAATATTTATTATGTACTCCATGTAACATAGTGGTAGTAATTTAATAATAATAATAAAAGCACCAACATTGTATGAAAGGTAGGATAATGTTCAATCACCTTATATGGTGATGGAAGGGCCATCTGTATATATACATGGCTAGACACGTACAAAGTGGAATGTGAAAAGATACATATGTAAGGTGACTCATAAAGGTAAATATATAAAGCTGCTATATGGAATTTTATAATTATTTGTTCAGAAATTATTAATTAAGTCAAAGTAAATATTAAAATGAATCAAGTTTCGGTGAAGCAAATAATTTAAATAAAATACATGGATAATTATTTGTTCAGAAATTATTAATTCAGTCTTCAATCTAATGCTAACAAATTAATTTTTCTTGTCTTATTGTTAGTACTGGTTTTCAATCAGAAGAAATGGAGGAAACTTTGAATCCTAAGGTTGGGATGAGATTTGATGGCACTGAAGCAGCATGGAATTTTTGGAGGATGTACGGTGGGAAAATAGGTTTTGGAGTTCGAAAGAATAACAGTAATGTTAGCAAGAAAGACAAAACAAAGATCACATCAATGATTTATGTGTGTTCAAAGGAGGGATTTCGACGAATTGATAAGAGAGATGTGAAGACAAAAAATCCCCGAAGCGAGACTAGAACAGGTTGTAGAGCACGTATAATATTCAAACTTATTTCTGGGAAGTATGAAGTTAAAGAGTTCATAGAGGAACATAATCATACCTTGCACAATCCCGAGGCCGTTCATATGATTCCATCGCAAAGAGAAATTTCAGAAGTGCAAGCATATGAGATTGAACTAGCTGATGATTCTGGCCTTAAACAAAAGGCATCATTTGATTTGATGAGTTTACATTGTGGAGGAAGGCAGAATGTTGGATTTACTCGAGGCGATGCAAAAAATTACCTTAAGTCAAGAAGAGAAAGAAACATGGCATATGGTGAAGCTAGTGCTCTCACACACTATTTCCAGAAACAAGCATCAGAGAATCCATCATTCTTCCATGCTTATCAGTTGGATGTGGAAGAACAGATGACTAATGTATTTTGGGCTGATGCTAAGATGCTAATTGATTATGCACTGTTCGGTGAGGTAGTGTCACTTGACACAACTTTTGGTACAAATAAAAAGAATAGGCCACTTGCAGTTTTTTCCGGTTTAAATCACCATAGAGGGATTGTAATTTTTGGAGCAGGTTTGTTATTTGATGAAACCACAGACTCATTTAAGTGGCTATTCCAGACATTTCTTCAAGCTAATGGGTTCAAAACACCACTGACTGTCTTTACTGATCAAGATGCCGCAATGGCACGTGCATTATCTGAAGTTATGCCAAACACCACTCATGGGCTGTGTACATGGCATCTTATGAAAAATGCCACAAAGCACTTAGCTCACTTGCCAAGGGGAGAGTCCCACATTCTGACAGAGATATCACGCTGCATGTATGCAATATCTAATGAGAATCTGTTTGAGTATACATGGACAAAAATGCTTATAGATCATGATGTTAAAGAAAATCAGTGGATAATTAACGCTTACGTGTTGAAACATAAATGGGCGAAGTGTTATATGAAGAACGCTTACACAATTGGAATTCGTAGCACACAACTTAGTGAGAGCTTTAACTCGGATTTGAAAGAAGTACTTAATCCAAGTGTTGACCTTGCCAAGTTCTTTAAATTATTTGAGAAAGTTGTTGATGAAAAACGCTACAATGAAGTGAAAGCCGAATATTATTCAAGAGACAAAATGCCGCGACTAAGAAATAAAAAATCATGTATGGTCAAACAAGTTTCTGAGCAGTACACCCCAGCCATTTTAGATTTGTTTCAAGATGAATGTGATGGGAGAGATCAAGTTATTATCAACAATGTGGATGATAAAGAGATATTCAAGCATTACAGTGTTTCTATGGTTGATCAAGAGGAAGTGTTTAATATATCGTTTGATGCTAGTAATCACACAATAGAATGTTCGTGTAAGAAGTTTGAACATATTGGAATTATATGTTGTCATGCCCTAAAGATTTACGATATTAATAATGTTAAACTTCTCCCTAGCAAGTACATCATGTCTAGGTGGACAAACAAAGCAAGAGCATATCCAACATATGATGCAACAACAAAAGAGATAGAGGAGGATCCTAAGATACAAGCTACACAACGATTTAGGGATATGAGTCGAACCTCTATACGTATATCTGCCGAGGCGAGCAAGTCTGAGGAAGGTACTGCCATAATGTTGGGTGTAATGTCTGATTTAGAACGGCAACTCATGGACCTTCATTTGAAAAGAAATTGTTCAAGCTCAAATGTTAATGTTGATATTAATGTCATTTCCACACCTCAATGCCCCCCAACAATAGCCGGGTTCAGGCAAAAAATTGGCACAAACAAGAAAAGGCGTCATAAGAGTTGTCTTGAAGGAAATAAGAAGACGAAAAAAAAAGCTGCATCAACTAAAGTAAGCAACTTTATTTAGTATTCTCAATGTTCAAATAGGCTATACTCATTTTTATATTTATGTGAATAGCAGAAATCACGGATAGGAGCATCCTGCTCCACACCACCAGAACCTCCTCTTGGAATTAGCTTTACAGAGTTGCTAATGGTTAGTTTTTTTTCATTACAGTTTTATCATTTCAAGACTGGTAATAATAAGTGTAATTTGTACTATTGCAGGCACCAATTGATTATCATTCAGTATCAATACAAGACTTAAATGTTGGCAATATTTGATTGTTGTATTGTAATTAGTAGTACATGCTCTTTCCATTCAAGGTTGTAATATTTTCTCTATATGTCTTTCAAAACAGTCAGTTAATTTCAAAATATTGATCTTTTTGTATTATAATAATTTACGAAGTAAAACTTTTAGTATGTGCTTGATGATTGATTTTATGTAATTTTTATCATGGGCTCTACATTTAGTTATATGTCAAAACAGGCTATCTTTTGAAATAGTATTCTGTATCTGTAAAGAGAAGCTAATATATGCATCATTCATTATATCCTTCAAAGGTATATCCTTTTGAAATATTAGAGATAAAATATCAGGATCTATATTGTATTTTAAATTTCTATTAAATCAAAAGAAAAAATTCGTCATAAATTAATTGATCATTTTCAGAAGTTAGGGGTATAAAAATTAAAGAAAAATTGCAATTGTAGGCTAAGGAAGGTACTTATCCTTCAATATAATTTCTGTCATCCAATATAATTTCAATCATAAGACATGAATTCCTCCAAAGAGAAGTAATTCTCTTCAAAGTATTGTGTGGTACGGTAGAAATCGGATCACAAAATCTCCCAAAAAATTGATGTAGACATACATACCTTGCAAATGTTGTGGTGAAGCCAGGAGATTACATACGGAGTCTGTATTATCTTGAACGGATCCATCTTGAACATGGGGCAACTAAAATTGAGATATGATATTTGACATTTTTTTAGATGGAAGATGTGTGAAGTGAAGAATGATTGCAGAGTAAAGAGATGAGGAGAAAGTGGGACGGTGGGTATTGGGTAGTTGGAGAAATAAAGTTTCTGGAGGTGGGGAGTTTACACCAAAAAGTAAAGTAATCCTAGCTGTCTAAACAAATAAATCTAACGGTCCAAAGGGTAAGGCAGAGTGCCTTACTATCGGGTAAGGCAGACACCCTGCATCCTTACTTCAAGATCGATCGTCTTCTCCATCTTCTGCCAGACCTGAGATGGATCGATTTACTCCGTCGTTGTCTTACTCCATCACCGTGCTCCGTCGTGACGGTCGGCGATTTCATCGAGGACGTAGATCCAGCAGCGACGGTCGATGATTTCGAGCCTGGACGAGTCCCAGACGGTGTGCAGACGTCGTTCTTGGTCCGGCTGCGTGACATCGCGCGTCTCCTCGCTGGTTCTTCTTCATCAGCGATTATCATCTATTTTAGGTATGGAATTTTTCCTTCATCTCTCCTCCCTAGCTTATGTCATCTTTCAACAATATCATCTAATTTGGTCTGTTCCTTTGGTGAAACAACTCCGATTGTCTTGGGCAGGGGGTGGAAGTATGGTTTTACTCTCTAATAACTATGGGGGTTGGTATATTTTCATATGCTAAGTTTTGATTGATGTGTTTATGTTAGGTGAACGGGGCAAGTTCTGAAATTTCTAGGCTTTTAGGCTATATTTGCTTCAAGGAAAATATAATTGTGAAAAATGCATTCTAATTATACTCTATTTGGCATTGGAGAGCATCTCAATGCATTGGAAAACTATTTATATGTTTTTTTATGTATGGGTTTTGAGGAAAACATTTCCCAAAAAATATCATCCTAGAAGCAAACATAGCCGTTATATATTGTTGGTTCTTTCTGCTGTCCATTTAATTCTTCTATTCTGCTTTTTTTTTCTTGCAACTGAACTCTGCTCCTTTGGGGGATGAAGGCCAGGAAGAGAAAGTACACCTTACAAATGTAATGTTGTCACATAGCAGATAGCAGATGATAAATTACAGATAGACTCAAAGCAACTGCAAAAAATATATATATTAAAATCCACATGAATTGTATATGCCATTAGCCCTGGTGCAACAGTCCATTGTATTCAAGTCTTTAATAGCACCCCCACCTTTTTGTTCTTTGCAACACCGTAGGTTTTTAATCCTTCCCACATCACCGCTTATATCTCTTATTTGAACCACAGGGGCAGGGTGCATTCCTAGTAATTTGTCCACTCTTTGCCAAGTTTGAGCGTGCAAGATCCATAGGAGTTGATCCCATCAGCTGTTGAATCTCAGCCATGCTCTTTGGCCTGGGCTTTCCTTCTTCCTTCAGCCTCTCAAGCTTCTTTTGTGCATCTTTCGCCCAGGTATACTTCGCCAAAGCATCCTCAACTTCTGTTATTGTGCATTTGCATATCTTTGCCGCCTCTTGCTTTTGACTATTTTGAAGATTCTCTCCAGTGGGATCAAATCCGCCAAGGCAACGAAGAATGGCTTCTTGTTTAGCAAAGGCATCAGTGAAAGTGGCGTCACTACTTCTCCCCACCACGTACTGCTTCCAATTTGACAACTTCCTCGCATTGCTCAGCTCATTCGCAAAAGATAGGAGCGTGAAGGTCCCGGAAGGCTTTTCTCCAGTGAAGACGGCCTTGACTGTGTCTACCCATGAAGCTAGATTCGGCGTGGATGAGATCTGCCGCCACTCCCGTGGTGCTGCCTGGTGGCAGCAGTGGTGGTAGAGAAACCCGATTCGATGGCGAATCATGGGCTGGGCGCAGATGAATTGAATACTCTTCTGTTATGCTTAATGACTCTTTTATCTTTTTTTTAACAGGCTCTGAAGGATGGAGTCTATATGCTGGTAATTATCTGCAGAAAGATTCTCCATGTACTGTTATCATTACCTCATAAATAGGTATCCAATCTCTCGGTTATAAAAAAAAGAAGGAAGGAGATTAATATGCCTCTCCGGTTCCTAAGGCATAACCACACAATCTTTAAGTCATCTGGTGGCGTGATTTTCATTTGTTTTTATACATGTCTGGACAGATACTCACTTGCCCACCGACCCATCTCTATATAGTAAGTTGCCCGCTTTTACAGTAAGTTGCCCGCTTGGTGAAATAATTAGTGTTACTATTTGGCTTGTAATTCATTTTGCGTTTTGTAATGAATCTATATGAAGTGTGGTGTAAAAGTTGGCATGTCATGTTTAATAGAAAAATGTACTAGTATTTGCATGGCAGCATACCTAATATGAATTATATTTATGTTTCTTGTCCTTCATTATCATGTTGTATTTTGTAATATTAATATTTAGAATATTTTCTTTGTTTAAGCTACTTGAATTACATTGTTTAACCCAATATTTTCTTTGTTGCCTCACTCCAGACCTAGCTAAGTGACGGAATGAGTCAGTAATGCCTCACCTTCTCCTTAGTGTTCCAATCAATGGTCGGTATTTTCTTGTTCTTTGTACGACCTCAGTCAACTCAAGTAACTTCTGTAATTTTAATTCTTAACATTTTAACTAAAACCTAATTTATTTGTTTGGTTATATAGTTAACTAAATCATTTTGTTTCACTTAATGATTAACAAGAATCTATCGCTTCTATCTTTATGCAGGGGAGTGGTTGGGGCGAGATTATACATTGTGGACATGATTTTGAATTGGTGTATGTTTACATAATCTGATTTGTAATTCATAAATTCTAGTGTACACTTTGCAGGTGATGACTTCATTCTGTGCAGCAGAAAATATGATGTCTAAGTATTAGAAGAAATGTGAAGGCCCCGTGAAGAATGGTGTAAAAGTTAGACTTGTTTGCGTTTTGTTGTTTATTACTTATGAAATATGTAGTATGTACAGGGGCGGATCTGCAAGGGGGGCAAGTGCCCCTGCTTCACCGGTCCGAAGTAGGTATATAGGAAGGGTAGGAGAGCTGCCAGGCTTGTCTGTTTCGTGAGTTTTCCGGCGACTTGCGCGATTGAGGGAGACAGACTGCTGAGGATGATGAAGCCGCGAAGGGTCTGATTTTTTTATTTTCAGGACGACGTCGTTTCGGAAGCTAATTAAAAAAGAATCAGCCCTGAGCTAAGCCCCAACAGCCCAGCGAAGCAATCACCCAGACGGCCCAAACCAAGTCCTAAAAGCCTGAATTTTAAAATGACTAATGTCTGATGCTGCAACCGGAAACTCACAAGAAGTAGCACCGGCAGCAGGCAGCGCCAAGATTCCAGGAGCCAGCTCGCCCCTAGATTACCGTTAACCACCTCGCCCACCTACAGTCATCCCTTCACCACCGTCTAATAGGTTATTGTGCCCCTGCTTAAGTTAATTTCTAGTTCCGCCACTGAGTATGTACAAGTTCAACAACAATGTAACTTGGAGTTTGACATTAATATTATGCTTTAAATGTTCAATGTATGTTTTCATATTTATTGACTTTATTATAGTTTATGAGATCCGTTGTTATTGAATTGGAATTTCTTAAATAAATTGAAAAGTATTTTCTAAATTACCCGTGAAATGGAATGCTGAAATAGTGCAAAACAAAGTGATACCAAAGTGTCACTAAAGTACGGTGTTTCTTGAATGGAAAACATAATTATGTGATACCGCGGTGTCACTAGAATATGTGATGTAAAAGTGTCGCCGAATAGTTATGTCACCTATGTATCACTAACTAGTGATACTATAGTGTCACAATTTTGTGACACTTGTAGTGACACTTAAAAAGTGTCACTAGATCCCACTTTCATTGACACTTTTTTAGTGTCACAGAATCTTTCAGTGACACTAATTTGGTGTCACTGTAGGGCATTTTTCTAGTAGTGGGTTAAGCATTCTCTATAAATAGAGGGGTTATGGTCCCTAGTTGAACAAGTCATTCCGTCTTTCTGCATCCCACCGCTAGAGAGATAATTCCTGAGGGTGTGTATCAACTAGAAGACGCAAACTCTAGGCCCCGTCTCCCGGATCTCTAAGGATCATCTCAAATGGAGTCAGGTACGCTTCCGCTCAGTTATTTCTCTAGATAATTCCAATATGAAGATTAAAGTATTCATGAATTTATTACAACACATGTTTGATAGAAATAAGTTCATACTTTTTAGCTTTTGTATTATTTAAAATGTCATTAAAATTTTCTAATTGTGTGTTTGGATGGACAATTTGTAAAAAACTTTTATCAAAATAACCGTGTGTCTTCCTAAAAAACGTGTCTTATTTCTCTAGTATGATGTCTTATATCATATATTCATACCATCAAACAATTTTTTCTTATTTCATTTCATATGTGCTTAGTCATATATTGGAAAAGAATCATTTGTAGTCATATTTTGAGAATTGTAATTAGTTTTAGTTGAATCAGTGTTTTCCTTTATTTATATTTATTTTTATGTGTTTTTATTTAAGCACAGGGTACTTTTGTTGTTGCCTTATGTTCATGTCTATGTTTGTTTTGTTGTGTCCTTATTTTGTTGGAGCTTTTAAAATACGTTCAAATCATTTTTTATCAGGTAACCAACAACGGTAAATATACACACGTGGCGACACATGGTCATTATTTTACGTGGCTTGAAATTGCATCTATCAAGTCACAGTCTGCCTAGCTAACAACTTGGAGGGGAGAGCGAGACACTTCTGATGGGGCTAGCGAGATAGCATCGATGATGAGGACTCTCAGAGAACAGCACCCATTTGACAATTGTGAATCCATCAGGTCGATTGATACGCTTGTAATTTCCGTTTTTAGTTAGTTTTGGTTGTTTAATACTTTGGAAATTACACACTTTTGGTGTAATAGTTATGTTTGTAAAATAGTTGTAATCTGTTTAAATTAAGTTTATTCTGAGCTAAAACAGGTCCAGGATCAATCAAATGATCATTGGAGAGACCAAAAGAGGAACAAAAGTGCAAGGATACAAGACAAAAAAGGAAAGTTCCTGATTTTGACCTGTACCCGGTCGGGTATACCATATAACCGATCGGGTACCTACTTGATTTTCAATCAGATCAATTCAGGAAACAAAGGGACGTGCAGGGGATGATTTGGCCACGATCAGTTGTTATACCCGATCGGGTACACCGACACACTCGATCGGGTATACCTTTAATTTTAACTCTGAAATCGATCGAGTATACATCGAATCTGAGTTTTTACACATACCCGGTCGGGTACCGTGTATATACCTGATCGGGTACCCGAGCTGCATCCCCAAAAGCCTATAAATACACCTCCTTTCTTTCACAAAAAATCACCAATTCCTATACACTTTTACGCTCGGTCTAGATAAATTCTTTCTTTATATTTTCATTATGTTTAGTCTCCAAATGAGGAGTTAAACTCTTCCATCTTGGTTTTGCTACTTTGAAGCTTTATGAATAAGTTGTGAGTTATTTTCTTTAATCTTCTTCCTTGAATATTAATTAATTCCTATTCCTATTTCATATTAATATTTTGAGCATTACTTAAAGGATCAACTAGTTTTGTTACATTTATTAATTATTACTAGAATCGATCGATTAATACGCTTGTTATTGATTCGGTCCTTTCACGTTAGTGAACTGGGGTTGTTAATGCATGTGTCTCATGGTTAATAACCGAAGGGGAATTAATTGTATTGATTAAACCGATAAACCGCTTGTGTTGAGGTTATCAATATCAATCGTTTTTATCTTGATTTTATTGCTACTATCGGGTTAATATACGGCACATGTTCTATATTAACTCGGTAGTAAGTTTTAGTAATGAACGCGTCTCATTATTAATAACTACCATCGATGATCTGGATATACTCCTCGATTGAGTATTCGAGAGGAAGATAGTTGAAGATTTAACCGGGATCGATGAACATTTCATCAAGTGGATAAAAGCAAATCCAAGTCTTCATCTCTATTAAGTAAACCACATAAGTCGTTCATCTTCGTGTTTAATTAATTAAACCAAATCAAACTAAAAACCCCCTTTTGTTACTAGTTCTATAAAAAGAAAAGTATTTCTTTCCCTGTGGATACAAATCTTACTTCATTATACTACGTATAATTGTTGTATTGTATTATTACTTTGAGTGCACACCACGACAAAGTGCACGTCATCGATCAACCAGATGCATTGGCCGGGGAGAGAGAACATAAGGATGGAATTAAAAAGAAGACATATATAGCCACACGTGTGCATTTACCTAGTAACATGTCGGTTACCTGATAAAAGCTGATTTGAACGATTTTTAAAAGTTCGATTGATTAATCAGGTAATTATTGAGTTCATGCGCTTAATTGTTTTTTTAATATAGTAAGGAGCTTACTTGACACTTTTATTTAACTTTTTCTTTAATTTTATCAATCTAGAATATGAAGGTTACATTAACCATAGATCGGGGAACTTGAAGATGAAAAGTTACCAATAGAGGATGAGACATGGAACGAAAAAGATCTAATGGATCCTTTCAAATCGATAATCCTGCAATAATGTGGTCTAGTCTAAGAGTCTTGCTGCTCTTCTTGCTACTTCAAGGAGAAAATAAAAAATTACAACTAAAAGATCCGGCTTCACCGGCCATCAGAAAGGGAGAATTGGTTTGACCAGCAACCAACAAAGGAAACTCAATTGAACATAATTTTTTTGGATCATCAGTTTGACCAGCCAGCGAAAAGGAGATCCAGTTGAGCGCTATCTTTTTCTTCGAGTGAGATGGTGATTCAAGAGGAGGACAAATAATTGAAGCTTCTAGACAAAAGGGGCAAATAAGCCCTCGAACTATTTGCAATTCTGCAATCAGGC